CCATGTTGGCCAGGCTGGTCTTGAACTCCTGACTCAAGTGATCTGCCTGCCTTGGCCTCCCAAAGTGCTGAGATTACAGACGTAAGCCACCATGCTCAGCCCACAAATATTTATTGAGGCTTACAGAGTGCCAGGCCAGGGGACAGAAGTAAACTAAACACACAAAATCCCTACCCACTGCAGAGCTGACTCCTAGTGGGGAAGAGACAGATAATACACAATGCAGAAAAGAAAAGGACAGAGAACATCAGATGGTGTTAAGGGCCACAGAGGAAAACAGGCCTGGGTAAGAAGGCGGAGGCAGGGAGGGTTCATTTTAAATTGGGCAATTGGAAGGGAAGGCCTTGCTGAGAAGGTGACATTGGAGCACACGCCTGAAGGGGTGGAGTGAGCCATGCGGATAATGGGAAAAGAACATTCCAGGCCAGGCTAGCCACATACACAAAGGCCCTGGGGCGCAGCAAGGAGGCCAGCGTGGTTAGAGCCAAAGGAAAGAGGATGAGGTCACCGGGCAATGGGGACCAGATGACAGGGCGCCTTGTGGGCCAATAAGTGGTTTCCCGGAGTGATTTTCCCCAGATACAGTGGTACTTAGACCCTAAATTCTCTCCTACCTACATCTTTGTTTTTTTTTTTGAGACAGAGTCTCACTCTGTCACCCAGACTGGAGTGCGGTGGCATGATCTCAGCTCACCGCAACCTCCGCCTCCTGGGTTCAAGCTATTCTCCTGCCTCAGTCTTCCAAGGAGCTGGGACTACAGGCATCTGCCAACACACCTGGCTAATTTTTTTTGTATTTTTAGTAGAATGGGGTTTCACCATATTGGCCAGGATGGTCTTGAACTCCTGACCTTGTGATCCACCTGCCTCAGCTTCCCAAAGTGCTGGGATTACAGGCTTGAGCCACCACGCCCAGCCCCTACATCTCTTATTTATAGACGGGGCACCTGAAAGAGGAACCAGAGTCAATTAAAAGTTGAAACCAGGCCAGGCACGGTGGGCCTGTAATCCTAGCACTTTGGGAGGCGAAGGCAGGCAGATCACAAGTTCAGGAGTTTGAGACCAGCATGGCCAACACGGTAAAACCCCGTCTCTACTAAAAATACAAAATTAGACAGGCATGATGGGGCATGTCAGTCATCCCAGCTACTCAGGAGGCTGAGGCAGGAGAATCACTTGAACCCGGGAGGTGGGAGTTGTGGTGAGCCAAGATCATACCATTGCACTCCAGCCTAGGCGACAGAGCAAGACTCAAAAAATAAAAAAAGTGAAACCACCTTAGAATGAAATGGTTTTCAAAATATACATCCTTGTTCCGGCACAGTGGTGGCCACCCTGTAATCCCAGGACTTTGGGAGGCTGAGGCAGGCGGATTCCTTGAGCCTAGGAGTTCGAGACCAGCATGGCAATATGGCAAAACCCTGTAGAGGTGGAGGTTGCAGCGAGCTGGGATTGTGCAGAGTTGGAGCTAGGATGTGCATGGAGGGTAGAGCATGTTTCTGAAGGGCAGATTCTGTGTCCTTTAAGGACCACATGTTTGAGACTTGTCTGGGGCCAAGGCAGCCCCTTCTTCTCAGAGAGCTCAACACTTCAGTGAGTAGCAGCCTGGCAGAAGCTCTCTTTTCCACATTTGAGGTGGTGTCAGTAGAGCCCAGAGAGGGTGAGTGACCTTCGTGGGGTGACTCAGCAAATCCAGCAAGATGGGACTCCCTGCCCTGGCCCCCCACATATCTAGACCCCTCCTTTTTTTTTTTTTTTTTGGAACGGAGTCGCTCTGTTGCCTGGGTGGGGTGCAGTGGCGCCATCTCGGCTCACTGCAACCTTCGCCTCCTGGGTTCAATCAGTTTTCCTGCCTCAGCCTCCTGAGTAGCTGGGACTACAGGTGTGTGCCACCACACCCAGCTAATTTTTTTGTATTTTTAGTAGAGATGGGGTTTCACCGTGTTAGCCAGGATGATCTCGATCTCCTGACTTTGTGATCTCCCACCTCAGCCTCCCAAAGTGCTGGGATTACAGGCGTGAGCCACCGCGCCTGGTCTAGACCCTTGACCTTGAGGGAGGTGTGCCATGATGGCCTCCCCATGAGCTGGGCCCCAGCTTGGGAGGGAGTGAAGATTTTGGGCTCTGAAGGCTGTGTGGTTTCAGACCTGGGTCAGCCTCTTGTCTGCTGTGTGACCAGGGCTGGGGTACTTGCTGCCTTCGAGGGTTGGTTTGTCTGTCTTTAAAATACATATACTAGGCTGGGCGCAGTAGTTCATGCCAGTAATCTCAGCCCTTTTGGAAGCCAAGGCAGACGGATCATCTGAAGTCAAGGAGTTCGAGACCACCCTGGCCAACATGGTGAAACCCCGTCTCTACTAAAAGTACAAAAATCAGCCAAGTGTGGTGGCACACACCCATAGTCCCAGCTGCTCAAGAGACTGAGATACAAGAATCAGTTGAACCCAGGAGGTAGAAGTTGTAGTGAGCTGTGATCACACCACTGCACTCCAGCCTGGGCAAGAGAGGGAGACCTTGTCTCAAATAAACCAACAAAAAAAAAATAAATAAATAAAATGCACACAGTAACAATAGGACCTACTTGTGGGCCTGGTGGGGGAATTAACTAGGAACTTCCCCATAACCAATTTTGCACGGTGCTGGGCACACAGCCCCCAGTGTGAGGGGGCTGGGCTTCCTACCTGCTTCTGAGCCCCGCTGAGCCCCGTGTCTGCTCTCCACACGGGGACACTGTCCATTTGGCCTGTTTCCTTTCCCTTTCTTGTTCCTCTTCCATTTGAAACTCTTCCTCGCTCTCCTTGCAGGGAGTATCTGTGTGTGCAGCAGGCTGAGCTGGACCACCTGTCTGGACGCCACAAGGACACCAGGAGGAATTCCAGGCTGGTGAGACCCCTCCCTGCCTGCTTCCCACCCAGATAGCCTCGGCCAGGAGTAAAAGATGAACCTGCGTTCCCCCTAGCCTATGTCACGGTGTGACTCTGTCTCAGAACTAGAGGTTTACGGAATAGCCTCTTTATGTTGTGCTGAGTTAACTTCACTTTGGCACATAGAGCAGTTCACACGTTTTAGGCCCACGTCACACTCTCTCTAGGTTCTAGAAGTAACGCTAAGGTGGGCAGAGTATAGAGGTGCATTTCTTTTAGGTCGTCCTACTTTATAGACCTTGGCCATCAGGTGACCTGGACTTGAGATGGCTTCTGTAATGCCAGGAAAGTGGGTCAGGTGTCACATCTCGGGTATGTCACAGTGGCCCCTGCCGCTGTCCTTGATGAAGCCTGCGTGTTCCTTCAGTGTGCAGCTGACAGGCAGCATTTCCTGCCATCATCAGGGGAGCGTCTTTTTTTTTTTTGAGACAGGATTTCCCTTTGTTGCCCAGGCTGGAGTCCAGTGGCACAATCCCGGCTCACTGCAACCTCCACCTCCTGGGCTCCAGCGTTCCTTTTACCTCAGCCTCCCAAGTAACTGAGACTACAGGTGTGCACCACCATGCCCAGCTAATTTTTAACATGTTTTTTTAGATACAGGGTCTCATCATGTTGCCTAGGCTGGTCTTGAACTCCTGGGCTCCAGCAGTCCTCCCGTGTCCAGCCAAGGCAGTGTCTTTGAGGCTGGCCCTGGGCCCTGTGTTGCTCAAGGCTCACCTGCTCTGGTTTTTGCCTTTCTCTTAGCAGAGACAGACTTAGCAACACATATACACACACACACACTCACAAATAGCATACCTCATTAAAATTTTTTTTTTTTTTGAGACGGAGTCTCACTCTGTTGCCCAGGCTGGAGTGCAGTGGCACAGTATCAGCTCACTGCAACCTCTGCCTCCCAGGTTCAAGCAATTCTCCTGCCTCGGCCTCCTGAGTAGCTGGGATTACAGGCACCCACCACCACACCCAGCTGTTTTTTCACATTTTTAGTAGAGACAAGGTTTCACCACATTGGTCAGGCTGGTCTCAAACTCCTGACCTCAGGTGATTTGCCTGCCTCGGCCTCCCAAAGTGCTGGGATTACAGGCATGAGCCACTGTGCCGGCCTCCCCTTTTGGTTTTTCAGACAAATCACAAATTTGTTTAGGTATAAGTATATCCCATGGAATCTCTGGGACATACTTATGTGAAAATAATTGTTCCTTGTTTATTGGAAATTTTAATTTTAATTAGGTGTCCTGTATTTTATCTGGTGACATGGCTAGGATCCCACTGCTCAGGGACTTCATCCTTCCAGCGGGAGGATCTTCCTTTTATCTGGGAAGTCTCCGCTGCTGCCTTGCGAAAACCCCACATGTCCTTAATGAATTAGATTTGGAAACAAAAGCAAGGAGGCCTTGCTGCTGTGGGATTCTCCTCCCAGCCAGTGTTTCCCAGAATCCCTCCTCTAAAGCGCCAACGTGCAGAGCAGGCCACTAGCTTGACTGAGGGACTGGGAAATCGAGGAGGGGAGATGAGTTTTTCTACTAAAATAGCATCCAGCGGCTCAGCGCAGTGGCTCACGCCTGTAATCTCAGCACTTTGGGAGGCCAAGGCAGGTGGATCACTTGAGATCAGGAGTTTGAAGCCAGCCTGGCCAACATGATGAAATCCCATCTGTACTAAAAATACAAAAATTAGCCAGGCATGGTGGTGGGCAGCTATAGTCGCAGCTACTCGGGAGGCTGAGGCAGGAGAATAGCTTGAACCCAGGAGGCGGAGGATGCAGTGAGGTGAGATCACACCACTGCACACCAGCCTGGATGATAGAGCCAGACTCTGTTTCAATGAATGAATGAATGAATGAATGAATGAAATAAGCAAGCCAACAAGCAGCTTTCTCTGTATCCTGGCTCCAGCAGAGAGGGCCTTGGAGTGGGCAGGGTGGAAGAGGTAAGGGTCCAGCCTCGTGCGTGTGCCAGGCAGGGACTTGGGGAGGGAAAGGTCTGCCAAGCTTAGCATGCTTCACCCTTGGTGGACAGTTGGGCGGGTGACCAGCAGCAGATGGTGGGAGGAGGTGCTGCCAAGATCTCCTCCAGCTCCAGCACCTGCCCCTCTTCTCACACGGGTGCAGCGAGTCTCACCCCGTGGACTTCCTTTCCCATTCTTTCTGTTCTAGAAGTAACTCTAAAGTAGGCAAGAGTATAAATACATGTATGTTTTAGCTGCTTCCATGTCATAGACGGGCACACTGAGGCCGGGGCACAGTGACCGCACTGGAGCCACACAGCAAGATGCCTATGTTGGGTCCTGCTCCTGTGACACTGCTGGTTCTCATTTAAAACAGATACTGGTTTTTGAGACGTTGCTGGGTAGTCACTCTTCTTTTCAAAGGCTTGGGATCTTTCCTCTTTGTTTATTTCTTTTTTTTTTTCGGAACGGAGTCTCGCTCTGTCACCCAGCCTAGAGTGCAGTGTCAAGATCTCCGTTCACTGCAACCTCTGTCTCCCAGGCTCAAGTGATTCTCCTGCCTCAGCCTCCCGAGTAGCTAGGATTACAGGCACACACAATCATGCCAGGATAATTTTTGTATTTTTTATTTAGTAGAAAGGGGGTTTCACCGTGTGGGACAGACTGGTCTCGAACTCCTGACCTCAGGTGATCCACTCACCTCGGCCTCCCAAAATGCTAGGATTATAGGCATGAGCCACCGTGCCAGTCCTATTTCTTTATTTCTTAAATGAAGTTTTGTTTCTTAATTTTAAAAAGATTTTATTTATTTATTTATTCATACATTCATTCATTCATTTATTCTTAAAGAGATAAGGTCTTACTCTGTCACCCAGGCTGAAGTGCAGTGGTACGATCATAGCTCTCCATCACCTTGAACTCCTGGGCTCAAGCAATCCTCCTACCTCAGCCTCTCGAGTAGCTGGGACTACAGGTGTGTGCCACCATGCCCAGCTAATTTTTACATTTTTTGTAGAGATGGGGTATTGCTATGTTGCCCAGCCTGGTCTTGAACTCCTGGGCTCAAGTGATCCTCCTGCCTTGGCCTCCCAAAGTGCTAGGATTACAGGTGTGAGCCACTTTACCTGGCTTAAATGGAATTTTTATTTCTTTATCGTATACGTACAATTTCACATAAATACATACATGGGACTTTTTGGGGTTGAATCCTTCTTTCTCTCTTGATTGATGCCCTCCTCCATTCGAACTTCTGTGTCCCACCCTGTTTAACCCTTGAGAACAATTTTGTATTGATCTTTCCATATTTTTCTCTCTGGTCACATAATCATGTAAATGTGTTTAGCAGTTGTGAGTTAATAATTGTCTTACAAAAATGAAATGTCAATTTACATACTCTCCTACAGCTTACTTTTTCTTCCTGGTGGATCTCCAACCTCATGGTAATCCCTCCAGGTTCAGACATAGTGACTGTAATCTCCACTGGCAATTAACAACCAGTGAAAATTAGAGTCACTATATTTTAAAATTAGAGCCACTTAAAAAACAAGAGTTTTTTAAACATTTGTTTAAAAAAAAGTTTCTTGGCCACACTTGTTCATGTACATATTGTCTGTGGCTGCTTTCCCACTATGATGGCAGAGTTGCTTAGTTAGGACAGAACTTTGACCCTGATGAACTTAATCCCACAGGCAGGTACAGCACTTCACATGCCTTAGGCCCACTTCACATTCTCTTTCTTGGTTCTAGAAGTAACTCTAAGGTAGGCAAAGATGTGTATGTTTTAGATGGTCCTACTTTTTTTTTTTTTTTTTTTTTTGAGATTGAGTCTCGCTCTGTCGCCCAGGCTGGAGTACAGTGGCGCGATCTTGGATCACTGCAACCTCCACCTCTGAGGTTCAAGTGATTCTCCTGCCTCAAGTCTGGCAAGTAGCTGGGATTACAGGCATGCACCACCATGCCCAGCTAGTTTTTATATTTTTAGTAGAGATAGGGTTTCGCCATGTTGGCCAGGCTGGTCTCGAACGCCTGACCTCAAGTGATCTGACCACCTCAGCCTCCCAAAGTGCTGGGATTATAGGCGTGAGTCACTGCACCTGGCCAGAATGGTTCTAATTTATAGATCTTGGCATGGGGCACCCTGGCCTGCCAAGCCTGACGTATTTACTATCTGGCCCTTTATAAACCTATGGAAAGGTTTGCCTGCCCTGATGATATATTATTTGTCTTGGTCGCACCCTGGTCTCTGGAATGGATAGATTTAGGAATTCACCATTAAGGCTTGAACTTCTGTGCCATGTGCCCCTCCCGCTTCCATCCCCCTCACATTCTTTTGGTCATGGCTGAGGCCATCCCTTCAATCCCAATGGTTCCCATTTTGTCAAGGGCCTTCTGTGTCCTTTTTTCTCCCTATGAGGCAGGCGCTTCTCCTACCCTGCTTTACATAGCAGGAAATGGAGGCCCAGAGAGGTTGAATGACTTGCCTGGGACACACAGCTGGGAAATAGAAGAGCCAGACCTAGAACTGCCTCATCCAACGTGCATGTGTTTAATCAGTGCTGTCCTTGGCATGGACAGCAGCCTGCCATTGGCAGAGGAAGGAGTGGGGGTGGCTGTAGACATGGCTTTCTGTCCTCTGACTCTGAGCTCAGGCACTGCCAGCATAAAGCCTCATAGGCCTTGGAGGAACATGTGGGACTCTGACAGCTTCTTCCGCCTTCCTTTCCTCCCCCACAGGCTTTCTATTACGACCTGGACAAGGTGAGTCTGCATATGGTGAGTGAGGTGGGCTGGGACCTGCTGGATGAGAATGACTGTGCCTCATTGCATCGTCCTGGCTGCCCGATGGGCAGAATACCTGGGTTTCCTCCCCATTTTAGGAATGGGAAGGCTGAGGCTCTGCGATGAGCCTTCCTCAGGGATGGTGAGGGCCCGGCCCAGCACTGAACCCCATTCTCTGAGTTAGGACCTGCAGGAGGGTGGCAGGGGCAAGCGGGGCTGGCAGGTGGCCCAGGCGACTTTGCAAACATCTTCCCTTTTCCCGGGAGAAGCAAACGCGCTGTGTGGAAAGGCACATTCGGAAGATGGAGTTTCACATCAGCAAGGTCAGCCGGCTCGTGGGTGTTGCAGGGTGGGGCAGGGCAGTGCCAGCTTGCTGGGCCTCAGCTAGGTTAGCAGGAGCTGGGGAGGTGCCCTCGGAGCAGGGGTCAGGGCCTTGGGGTATGGGGCAGCTGCAGGAGGCTAAGGATAAGCAGGGGCCTTGGGACAGTTGAGGGACGGCAGGGGCTCAGCCCCGAGGTGGGACTCTCTGAGGACAGCGTGGGCTCTTTCTTCAGTTTATGCAGAAAGACCTCATGCTCAGTCTTAGATGGCTGGGAAGGTTGAACCCTCCCAGCCCATTGTACAGATGGAAAAGCAGAGGTCCAGAGAGGAACATGGGTTGGCCCAAAGTCGCACAGCAGATCCTTAAGCTTTAGAGTCTGCAGTTTCATGATCCTGCTTTACTCCCCGTACTGCCCAGTGGGTGGCAGGCTATCACAAACTCACCTCTCGTTTCACTGCTGAAAAACCAGGCAGAGGAGGAGAAGGGACAGATTCCCTTGTCCCTTTCACTCATTTTTGCTGTGCACACTGTGTGCCAGTTGCTGCCAATAGCTGGGTATGCAGCAGGCGAGGCAGGCGAGGCAGGCGAGGCAGGAGTGGCGGG